CCCCACTCCCCCATCAATCCAGGGGCTTAAACTCAGCTGAGCTTATTTTGCATGAGTCTAATGCTCTATCACTTGAACCATAGCTTTACTTCTGGCTTTTTTTTTTGAAGGCTTATTGGAGATTAGAATCTCAAGGACTTTCCTGTCCTGGATAGCTTTGAACCGTGATCCTCAGATCTTAGCCTTCTAAGTAGCAAGGATTACAGATGTGAACCACCAGTGCCCAGCTTCCCCGACTCTCTTATTCTCCTATGACATTGGCTTCTCCATGACTTCAGGAGGGAATAAGTCACTAGGCCCACATTGAACAGGAAAGGAGCTCTTAGGATGTCTTCAGTCAACAATGACATCCAGTTTCTCTGCTGGTGATGGTATTGATAGCAGGAGCCAGGCTTAACTGCAGATTGTGCTTTGTCACTATGGTGTGTTCCTGTGGCTACACAAGCACGCATATGTGAGATGTGTGTTACACACACACACACACACACACACACACACACAGAGCCCTACACACTTGATCAGGCACAGCTGCCTGAAAACCCACTTTTTCATGAGATAGCACAATTGGGCTTTTTGTGTCAGTTTCCTTCCTTCCCTTCTTCCTCTATTTGCTGATTCCTGCCTACTGTGCAGGTACATGTGGATCATGCACAGCTCCTATCTCCCTTCGCTATGGAAAATTTATTCTTTCACATAGGCAATTTGTGCAAGAATATAGTAACACTTAAAAATTTCCCTTTGTAGGTGTATGAGCTTAAAAGTATATGGCTTCTATAATTTCTTTTTTTTGAGATCTAAAAAGGAGCCACATGATGGGCTAGGAAGCAATGTATTCTGCTTGCCACAATTCACCAGTGGCTGTCTTGCAGGCTTGCGGACTCTTTGTGTGGCCTATGCTGATCTCTCTGAGAATGAGTATGAGGAGTGGCTGAAAGTCTACCAGGAAGCCAGCATCATACTGAAAGACAGAGCTCAGCGCTTGGAAGAGTGTTATGAGATCATTGAGAAGGTAAGCACACCCAGAATAGTATCTTTTGTGCCCAGTGAAGGACTTAAGCTTCTACCTACTCAACAAAGTCTCTCAACAGAAATTCTGTTGTCCTATAATGAATACTTTTATTGTAAATGTTGTAATGTTAACTCATTTCTTTGCTTTATTGAATCTATCTATCTGTCTATCTATCTATCTATCTATCTATCTATTATCTATCTATTATCTATCATCTATCTAACTATCTTTTTTTGTCAGTGCTGGGGCTTGAACTTAGAGCCTTTCTTTCTCACTTGGCTTTTTTGTTCAAGGCATGATCACTTGAGCCACAACTCTACTTGCTGATATTTTCTGGTTAATAGGAGATAAGAGTCTCAAGACCTTTCCTGCCCAGGCTGTCTTGGAATCCTGATCCTCAGATCTCAGCCTCCTGAGTAGTTAGAATGTAGTTAGTAGTAGTAGTTAGACATGAGCCACCAGCTTTCCCCCAGCTATTTCTTTACTTTGTTTACATGGGTTGTCTGAAAAGTGTAGCCACCCTCAGCTAAGTATTAATGATATTGTAATAAATATTAGTCAAAAACTGCATTGATGGCTTTCTGGCTTTTGGAAGATTAACCTTAATGAGCTTGCCCTATTGAGTTCTTTGAGCAATCAGAGTGTTAGGCTGGATAGGAATTCTCACACTTATTTATGTTTTACTGTTGATATTCCTTATTTCATAGTTTGATTTTGTTTTGTTTGTTTTTTAGTTTATCCCAGGCATCAGGTAGTTTTATACTATATGATCCCTTTGAATGTGGAAGCTAGATTTCAACTTTTTTAGTTCATATAAACAATCAATGGATTATTGATTTTCCAGTTTCTATAACTTTGAACCATTGCTTGCTTTTTGTTTGCTTTTACTTGTTAATTCTCAAGTTTTATTTTATTATTTTTTTTGTAATAGTTCTTGGGCTTGAACTCAGGCTTGTCTTCTCTCTTGTTTCTTTTCTTTTTTCTCTCAAGGCTAGTACTCTAAAACTTGAGCCACACATCCACTTCCAGCTTTTAGAGATGAGTCCCTTGGATTTATCTGCCTGGGCTGGCTTTGGACCATGATCCTTAAATCTCAGCCTTCTATGATTACAGGCATGTGCCACTAGGGCCTGGTCATACTTAGTTTTCACTTGAGTTTTATGTTTAATCATTTTAATGGAATCAAGGTAGAGGTAGAACTGAATCCAGGCATTTATTTGCCCTGCTTTACTATAGAAAAAAATAAAAGGCATTGTGTTGCCTTTATCAAATTTTACTTAAACAGTCAAGGTTCTAGAACATGACAACGTTCCTGGAAGCAGGTGTTTCTTATAATTACACCATATAGAGAGCTTATGTTTATAGCCAAATAAAAGGAAGTGACATATAGAAAAAACCTGATTGGTTACAATTAGCATTTTCCTTATATGGACAAGCTTCAGTCCCTGATTGGCAGGAGGTTCAACTCCTCTGATTGGCTAACATTTTATTTGGATATATTGTTAGGTTAAATAAGTTTGTTCGCACAGCAAGTTAGTTTATAATTCACATGTATGGAGTCTACTTTGTGCCACATTTTATCATCCAAGTATAAAAACAAGATCAGGCCAAACATAAAATGGAAATATCGCAAACTCTGTTTAGCATCTGAAAAACTGTTTAAATAGCTGTTCTAACTATGTGGTGCCTAGCTTATATATGGTGGATACATATGAGGTGGTTGAATTTTGCTGGTAACTACAGTGTTGTGTAAAGACTCAGTAGAGGCTGGTAAGTGGTGGGGCAGACTGGTCTACATAGTTTGTCTGGGATCTGCCAGACCAATAGCCAAAGCCTGAAAACCTAGAGGTTCAAGCACATTGACACCCACCCTTAGCCTCAAATGGCTCTCCTGTGCATTGAAGAAACTGTAAGGGCAGCAGTTTGTAAGTCCTTAGCCTTCAGATACTTCTGTGTTTTCTTCTCTAGCCATTTAATGGTGCTTAGGATTTACCCAGAGCCTCAGTGCATGCTGAACTAATGCTCTGTGTCACTGTGTTGCATCTCTACCCCTCCAGCTTTCAATCCTGAGCATCACAAGTCTCTTATACCTATATTTACAGACAAATGTGGCATCTAGATTTGATAGTTTTCATAGGCTGAGTATTGTGATAGCTTATCCATTAGTGGGACAAGAGGGGTGGGGTCAAGCATTATTAATACCAGGATAATCTACTTATGTTCTCTGCTGCTTGGATGATATCTACCTTCACTGCCCAAGTACTGAGAAGTGAATGATGAGTGTTGGTTGCCTCTGTGTATGTGTGTGTGTGTGTGTGTGTGTGTGTGTATGTGTGTGTGTGTGCATGCCCATGCGTGTGCACAAAGTAGTTCCAACATGGTGAATACTTGGGCAATGCCACATATCTAGATATTATGAATCATCTATGACATGAGTTTAGTGTGAAGAGTAAGGATAAGTGACTGAGAGCATTTCACTTGCCTGGGTCAGAGTTGTTATTAATGCTGATCTTAGGTCTGAACTAGTCTTTAATAGAAGCTACTTTTCATTCTAGAATTTACTATTACTTGGAGCTACAGCCATAGAAGATCGCCTTCAGGCCGGCGTTCCAGAAACCATTGCTACATTGCTGAAAGCAGAAATTAAAATATGGGTATTGACAGGAGACAAACAAGAAACTGCAATTAATATAGGTAATCATTTTTATTTATTTTTAATTTTTATTGCTATTATAAAGGTGATGCATGTAGGGGTTACAGTTACATTAGCCAGGTAAAGAGTACTTTTTTTTTTGGACAATGTCACCCCTTCTCTCATGCTCTCCTGGTTTTCCCTCCTATCTCCATCCATAAGTTGTATAGTTCATTTTCAACATAGTGTCTAGTGAGTGCTTCTGCTGCAGTTGTTTATCTTTTGTCCTTCCATTTCTGTGCCTTCCCTTACTCTCCCAAAGACATACAAATAAAGATGAAAAAAACATAAACAACAACAAAGAATAAACCTCTTGTTTCCATTTCCTGAAGTAATTTAAAAAATTCTGTAATGCTAATTGTGTGTGTGTGTGTGTGTGTGTGTGTGTGTGTGTGTGTGTGGATACACCACACACCAGTACTGGGATACACCAGTACTGGGGCATAAACTCAGGGCCTGGGCACTTGCCTTTAGATTCTTTATTCAGGCATGACACACTATTATTTTAGCTAGAGCTCCATTTCTGACATTTCAGTGGTTAATTGGAGATTAGAATCTCACAGACTTTCCTTCATAGGCTGGCTTTGAACCATGATCTTCAGATCTCAGCCTTCTGAATAGATAGGATTATAGCTATGAGCCACTAGCACCTGTCTATTTTTATTTTTTTTAAGAAAATTAAATTCATCCCAGAAGGCCATGATCATTGGAAAGACAACTGATTCAACAGAGTAGGTTTGAAGAAAGAGATACATTTGATTAAGTTGACAGCATTCTAAAAAACTACTTTGAACAGAACTGCAGTCACTTGATTTCAGCGTTTCTAGTAATTTTTCTCATGTGATTAATACATTAATAAATTGTGTAACACTTTTTTTTCCCTTCAGTGCTATGGATTGAAGTGGGGGTACTTCTTGCCTGCTAGGCAGTTGCTCTACATCAGACCCCAAAGTTACACAACTTTTTTTTTGGTGGTATTAGTGTTTGAACTCAGGACTTCATGCTTGCTAGGCAAGTACTCAACCATTTGAGTCACCTTTCCAGTCATTTTTGCTTTAGTTATTATTATTATTAATTCATTGCATAGGCTCTTGTGTTTTGCCCAGGCTGGCCTCCTATTCACACTTCTCACATAGCTGGAATGCTGACGCACATCACTACAACCAGTGTATTGCCTGATAAAAGAGTCTTGCTAGCTCTAAGTAAGGTTTCTTTGAAGAAAGCAATAAGAAATCTAAATTTTCAACTTTTGAATTCTATATGATATCTAAAAAAAGATTATTTTGTGCATTTTCCTGAGAAGGCATAGTAAGATAGTTTTGGCACCAAAAGCAGTTACATACATTAGGATTTCTTCCTCTCCTCTCCTCTACTGGGGTTGAATGTAAGGCCTTATGCTTGCTAGGAAAGTGCTCTACCACTTGAACTATACTGCCCGCCCCCCCGCTGTTTTGTTTTTCATATAAGGCCTCAGGCTTTTTTAGTCTAGCCTTGAACTGTTACCTTTCTGTTTCTGTCTCCCAAGTAATAGGGATTATAGGCATGTGCCACCAGACTTGGCCCTCCACCAAGCATTTCTTAGTTAATTTTTCTTGGTAAGTATTCTCAAGATGTTTCTTTGCTCACTTGTTATCTGTGTGTCAGCCACATCAAAATTTCTTCTTTGATGTTATTGAACATGTTGTTAGCAGTTAGGGACTGGTGATCTTTGAAAGAGCTTGGTCTGAACCATTCTTTATTCACTCTCCCTTCGCATTTTCATACCTGAGCCATAGCTCCACTTCTACCTTTTTGGTAGTTAATTGGAAATAAATGCCTCATGGACTCTTTGAAGCTTGGTATGGCTTCAAACCATGATCCTTAGATCTCAGCCTCCCAAGTAGCTAGAATTACAGGCACAAGACACTGACAGCCAGCTTGAAAGTTAAAAGAATTACTTTTTCTCAGTTGAACTCAGACCCTCACACATACTAGGTAGGCCCTCTACTGCTGACCTACATCTCTAGCTGAAGAATTTATTTATTAAGTAGTTGCACAAAGGGTTACAATGTCATAAGTCAGGTTGGAGAATTTATTTTTTTATGTAATTTTTCTTTTATATCTAGGAAATAAAAATACTTAGTTAAATTAAGTTCCAGCATATTTGTGTGTCTTATAACCTGTGAATTTTGTGCAGATAGACAAATTGTCTTGTTGGGAGAAATTTACTAGTTTGAAACTGGCTTGTTGCCCGGAGCCTGCAGGGCTGGGTTTCAGTTTGTACTAACTTGCTGTATTTTGAGGAGTCGGCACAATTTTCATTTTTAACTTAAAAATTTGGCATGGACTAGTCTAAAGTGAAATTTCAGATGTGGTCTCTGTGAATCATGTAGTTGTCATTTCCTTATTAGCACTGGATAAGACATCCATTAAATAGTTGTAGATAGATGTAGAGTTTCAGAGTCTATTTTTTTCCTAGTGAATGTGGAATGAGTGAGAACAGAATCTCAATGTTCATTTCATCTCAGACTATTTCTGAGTATGATTTGGAGTTTCTCAATATACTTAACTTTTATTATCCATCAATGGATAATTTTTCTTTCTGGCTGATAGTGGAGCCTGAAGTCAGGGTCTTGCACTCTCAGTAGGCTTGCTTATGGCTCAGGTTGTACTCTTCCACTTGCACTGTTTGACTTTGTGCTGGTTAATTGGAGAGGGAGTCTCCTGAACTTTTCTACCTGAACTGGCTTCAAATGGTCATTCTCTGGATCTAAGCCTTCTAAGTATCTAGGATTACAAGCATGTGCCCCTAGCATCTAGCTCATTATATTTAATTATTTAATTTATTTTCTGTGCCTGTCTGGGACTTGAACTCAAACTCAGGGCCTGGGAGCTGTCTCTTTGCTTCTTCATTCAATGCTGGCCCTGTAACACTTGAGTTATAGCTAAAACTTCTGGCTTTTTTGGAAATAACAGTCTCAAGGACTTTCTTGCCTGGGCTAGCTTCAAACCATGATCCTCATATGTCAGCCTCCTGAATAGCTATGATACAAGCATGACCTACCGTACTTTGTGACTACCAGTAGCTAGTATGAGTTCATTATATATAAGACAGAATTCATAACAGAAATGAAACAGATAAGTTCATATGAATTGTAGTGTAGAAGCTAAATATGCTGTCTGTAATAGTTACTAGTAAACATCAGATATTGTTTTTATATTGTAAAAATACTGTACAGAGAGGTTATAATTACATGGGCAAGATAATGAGTACATTTCTTATCAAGCATTGTAGCCTCTTCCTTTGTTTCCCCTTCCCATCCCTTCCCATCCTCCCCCCGCCCTGCACCAAAGTTGTAAAGTTCGTATGTGTCAGATATTGTGCAAACTCCTTTCACAGCACTATGAGTGCATCCCAAGTAGATGGGCACAGATCCTGTAGATATATACATCCTAAAGATTAAACTAAACAGCAATATTGAGTAACTCGGTCTGGGCCACCTGAGGTAAGGATGAATTTAAATCTGGCATGTAGTCATACTACATGATACCTTCTTCCCAGAAGATCAAGGAGGGGTTCACAGATGAGATAGGTAGAAAACTTGAGCCTTCAACAATTTTTTTAAAGTACTGTACACTAGTGGCTCATGCCTATAATCCTGGCTACATAAGAGGATCGAGGTTAGAAGCCAGTCCTAGCAAAAAAGTCTGTGAGACTCTTTATCTCTAATTAATCATCAAAATGCTAGAAGTGGAGGTATAGCTCAAGTGGTAGACTGCCAGCTTTGAGTGAAAAAGCTAAACAAGAGAGCTAGACCCCGAGTTCAAGCCCCATACCAGCATTTAAATAAATAAGTAAACAAATCAAGTCCTGCTTTGAGTAGTATAGGCTCTGTAATACTTTGATTTCTTGAGTGTTGATTATACTCAGGCAGTAGAAAGATGAAAAAAATTTTTGTAGTATGCTGTTAATTTCATCTGTAGTAAAAAGTGAGATCTCAGGGGTATTTCTCCCAGTCATTTTATGGTCGTCTTGTTAAATTGTCAGATTAAAGATCTAGACTTCAATTTATAAGTATGGTTTGACTTTTTCTACCTGGCTCTTCGCCAAGCGTTGATCTCATGTTATCCAAAAACATTAGAAATCAAATGCACAAAACTTGGATTGGCATGATATATTTTACTACATTGGTTAAATCATAGTTAACTAGGTTAAACTTCTGTGGTCTGTGTAGAGCAAATGTTCTGTGTGATAATTCTCTAAGAAAAAAAATCTCATGTCATTTTCCAAATTAAAAAAGTAAGCAAACAAACTAAGTAAGCGAACAAACTAATTTGTTTCTTCTCAGGAGGCTTTCGCTGTGTGTAGTTAAGTTCTACCAAGTATCAGTAGTTTTATTTCTTGTCTCCCTATTCTCTTGCCAACCATGGTGACAAAAAACACTTAGGATTTTTCATAATATTGTGGTATAACTTCACTTGTCAAATGGCATTTTGCCTAAATTGCAAAAGCTAAAATAAAGCAGAAAGCTGGGACATAAAAATCAAGAGTTGTGTCTACAGCTGTTGTTCAAATAAAATGCTACCAGCAAATCTTTTTACATTAGTTACAGTAATCCTCTACATTATATGGAGTTGCTGGCAGTCTCTAAGGATGGAGGGTTAAGCCAAACATGGGGTCGATCCCTTTTGTCAGTGAAACAAAGTGTTGAGCCTCTCTTCTGGACCTCATCAAACAATGTGAGGGAAGGAAGAATGTATTTGCAAAATGTTAATAGTAACAAAGAATTGAACATCCATTTATTTTCTGTCCACCACTGTTGTTAAATTGATTGAGAATATACACATAATTGTTTCATTTTTTCTCCCTCCTTTTTAGGAGGTATTTAACAAACATTTGCCATGTGGTATTATTCAGTTGCTTTAGTTTTTAGAAATACATGGTGGTTTTATAAGAGAAATGATCTCATTTCCATGACATAATGATTATTAAACAGCTTGTATGCCATCTCTTTTGATATGGCTTTAAAAGATATTAACTGCATTTTTTAAAAAAGTTGTTTTTTTGCTTTAAAGTTTGTCTTCTGAGGTGCTTTACAAAATATTTTTAAGTGACTATCATGAATGAAAAATATACTGTACATTGCAAAATAAATAAAAATATTACTTGTTCCATATTCCTTCCTCTCCCTCAGCCCAACAAAGTTTTTTTATTTTGGACTGGTAGTGGGCTTTGAATTCAGGCCCTCACACTCCTCCTAGGCTCTTTCATTCAAGGCTGGCACTCTACTACTTGAGCCACAGCTCCACTTCTGACTTTTTTGACTGGCTTCAAACCATGATCCTCAGATCTCAGCCTCTTGAGTAGCTAAGGTTACAGGTATGAGGTACAGGCAATTGGCTCACAAAGGTTCTTCTTTATCTTAATTTCTTCCCATTTTAACTTCTGTTTTATACTTGTGGCTGGGTTTTCCTAAGGATGAAAGTAGAATCTGCTGGGTAGAAAAGTCCCTTAGTTAAATGCCTGTCTCCTTTTGTGGATGTTCCATGATGAAAACCCAGGCTGTTCCTTCTGGCTTTAGGAACAGAGTTTGAGATTGTACGCACATTATTTAAAGATTGAACTTTTGCCTACCGAATGACTTGTTTTTTGTTTTTTTATTTTTAAATTTATTGTAAACTTGTTTTATTTAATTGTTGATATATTATCTTGAGTTGTTAAGAAAAATACAGGTAGCAGGGACCCATTTCCAAGGTAGATTTATTCCTTGTTCCTTCTCAATGACAGAAAATGGAGATGAGGCAGGTAAAAGGTACCTATTAATGCCAACCCTTCTCCAGGGGACTGAAAGGATGTGGAGTCATTTGAAAGACAGACTAGTACTTGGGAAGACACCATGGGTCTTGGGTTGCTTGAATTGCCTGCTCCCCCACTAAACCTGTGGATTTGAGAGAGGAGAAGTCAGGAGGCTCTTGTCTTGGTCTGTGAGAGGTCCTTGGATAAAAAAGAACTTTATAGAAGTACGTTGCCTTCCAAGGAAGAGAAGAAGCAATTTCTCTTTACTTTGATTTAAAAATGCAATTGAAAATTTTGATACTAATCAAGAGGTTGAACTCAGGGCCTGAGTACTATCCCTTAGTATTTTTGCTCAAAGCTGGTACACTACCATTTAAACCACAGCTCACTTTCCAGCTCTTTTCTGGTTAATTGCAGATTAGAATCTCACACTTTCCTGCCCTGGCTAGCTTTGAATCTTGATCCTCAGATTTCAACCTTCTGAGTAGCTAGGATTACAGGCAAGAGCACATAACCCACTTTTTTATAAAGGAAATGCAGGATCTGGCAATTGCAATAGGCATGTTTATGCTGGTAAGAGCAACACTCAATTTCCTTTGTCTTCCTAAAGTGTTTGCTGTTATTTTAGATAATCTAAGGCTCATTTTAATGTTACACAAGGATTATGAGGCTAAAGAAAAATCCACAGAAAATTGACAAGTATTTGTTTTAGCCTTTACTTATAAAGACTTTCTCAACCAGGTCTATTTACACTGCCTACAAGAATCAAAATCAACTTAGGCTCTCATTTCCTTCACTTTTTCCCTTTTCCTCAGTATGAATGGAAATAGGCAGACCTAAGAAGGGAGGCTGAATTTGATCAGCTATTGACTTAGGAATTCATGTGTTGTCCCTTCTCCATTTAGGATATTCCTGCCGATTGGTATCACAGAATATGGCTCTTATCCTACTGAAGGAGGATTCCTTGGATGTAAGTAGCTTTTCAAAAGTTGTATCTGATATAGTTTTATTAAATGTGTGGCTTGTTTCCACCATGACTGACAGTTTGCTTTTATTTGTGAAAAGCAATTATAAAACTACTGTGTTTAGTTTACTTATATGTATGAGCAGATGTTTTATCCATAAAACATCAAAATATTCTAAGTTGAGAATATTGTCTTCTTCACTTACAATTGTGCATTTGAAATGGGTTTGATTTGGTTTGAAATTTGGTTTGATTTTAATGGGCACTTATGAAATATTTACCTGAACTAATGGAACCAATTATGAAATGACTTATAAGAAGTGGTGACTTCATTGTAGGTTACTAGAGTGTTTTCTTTCTAGTAGAAACTTTAACATAAAGCTAATGCTCAAGTGTATGTAGTTATTTAAATTTATGTAGTCATAGAGCTGGGCACTGGTGGTTAATGCCTAATAGCTACTTAGGAGGTTGAGATATAAGGATTGCTGTTTCCTGCCCAGGCAAGAAAGCCCATGAGACTCATATCCAATTAGCCATCAAAAAGCCAGAATTGGAGCTATGGCTCAAGTGGTAGAGCACCAGCTTTGAGCCAAAAAGCTAAGAGAAGGTCGAGACACTGAGTTCAAGCCCCAATACTGACCCGTTGCAACAATGAGAAGTACAAGTTGTTATGTTGAAAACGAACTTTACAACTTTGGTGGGGGGGGCGGGGAGGATTGGGTAGGGGGGGCGAGGGGAGGATGGGAAGGGGAAACAAAGGAGGAGGCTACAATGCTTGATAAGAAATGTACTCATGGGCTGGGAAGGTGGCTTAGTGGTAGAGCGCTTGCCTTGCATGCCTGAGGCCCTGGGTTCGATTCCTCAGCACCACGTAAGCAAAAAGAAAAAAGCAGGAAGTGGTGCTGTGGCTCAAGTTGTAGAACGCTAGCCTTGAGCTGAAGAGCTGAGGGACAGCGCCCAGGCCCAGAGTTCAGGCCCCACGACCGGACCAAAAAAAAAAAAAAAGAAATGTACTCATTATCTTGCCCATGTAATTGTAACCCCTCTGTACAGTATTTTCACAATAAAAAATAAATAAAAATTAAAAAAATAAATTAAATTATGTGGTAATAGGATACATATGTACTTAACTTACCAACACCAGATACCACTAGTTCACTGAAAATTGAACAACATGGTTCTCTAAGTACTTTATAGACAATTTTCTACTCCATCTTAGCATAAAACCACTGAAGATACTGGGCTGGGTAAACAATGATCTGTGAAGTTGTTTGATATGAAAATATGAGCTAACTATGAGATTTCACTTGTTAAGATTTCTAACAGGACCAAGTCCAGTGGCTCACACTTGTAATTCTAGAAACTCAGAAGATCTGAAGATTATGGTTCAAAGCCAGCCTGGGCTTTGAACCTATAATTCTACCTTCTCAGGATTTCTGAAGATTGCTGTGAAGATTGTGATTCAAATCCAGCTCAGGCAGGAAAGTTCTTGAAACTCTTATCTCCAGTTAGCTGCCCAAAAGCTGGAAGTGGAGTTGTGGCTCAAGTGGTAAAATGCTAGACTTGAGTGAAAAAGCTCAAGGATAGCACCTAGGCAGGCCCTGAGTTCAAGCATCAGGATCAGCATAAACAAAACAAACAAAAACAAAGACTTCTAACAAATTTCTATCACTTACCTGTAGCCACCATTCTATTCAGATTATTTAATGCTAGTGCTAAAAGTTGATGGAAGTGTTTGTTATGCTTTTCAAGGGAGGAAAGAAGTATTTACAGAAGTTTCTATTTGTGCAAATTGGGGAGGTGTCTACTGTGAAGACCAAGATGCTTTCTACCCTTTCACCATCCCCAAGAATAGGAGGCAAGAACACAGTTCATAGTTCTGTGTGTTTCCAAGGCACTGCTGGCAAGATACCCCTCTTGATATGAGAGCTTCAGGGTTCGGCTCACGTGGCTGTTATCCTTGTTTGCATTGTTGTCTGTGTGCTACCTTTTGTAGGACATAACATGAGAAAATCATATATAACCCCTGAGATAATCATATAAAGAAAAGGCTTATTTTGGCACACAGTTTGAAGTTACATTCTATGATTGGTTGGCTCAATTATTTTGGGCCTGTATGGAGGCAGCTCATCATGGCGGGAATGTACAGTGATGAATAACCACTTGCTTCAAGGTTAGGAGACAAAAAGAAACAAGCAAACAAATTATCAAGGAAATAATTAAAAAGATAAAAAGGAAGAGGCAGAGACTAGGGTCCCGAGACTTCTGCAGGGGAGTGTCCTCAAAGACCTCACATTAGGTTCTACCTCTCAAAGGTTCTACTACTTGTCAATAATGCCACTCTGAGAACCAAGTCTTTAACAAATGGGTTTTTGAGCATCATTCAACATTCAAACTATAGAAACCTATGGAGAAGATATTTGCTAGCTATAGCTCAAAAAAATTACTCCCCTAGAGAATCAATAATCCAGTTAATAAATGGGCAAAGGAGCTAAACAGACACTTCTCAGAAAAAAGTACAATTGGCCAATAAAGACATGAAGAAATGATTAGCATCTTTGGCCATAACGAAATGCACATCAAAATAACAGTGGCCATCATCAAGAATACAAACAACAAAATGCAAAGAAAAAGGAATCCTACTTCACTGTTGGTAGGAATGTAAAGTAGTGCAACCACTATGGAAATTAGTATGGGAGTTTCTAAAAAATTAAAAAAGAGAAATCCCCCATGGCCCCACAGTATCACTTGAGCTTTTATCCAAAAGGTTGTAAGTCAGGATACAATAAAACTGTTTGCACATCAATTATTGCAGTACTATATTCACCATAGCCAAGTTATGGAAATAGCTCAGATACACTATAACCAACGAACAGACAGAAAGTATAGCATATACACATACGCACATGTGCATGAATATGCACAAACCCACACACACACCATTTTATTTATCCATCAAGAAACTATCTTTTTTAGGGAAATGAATGGACCTGGAAAAACTCATATTGAATGAAGTAAGCCAGACTCAGGAGAGATAAGGGGCACATACTTTCCTTTATATATGGAAATTAGATCTAAAATATAAACATATGAAAATATATAGAGCCATATGCATATATACTCTATCAAACTGAATTAGGTATGAGATGTGCAGGGGTGGTTTCCATAGTGTAAGTGCTTTGAACTATTAACAATTAATATATGGCTAAAATATGTCTATGAGAGAAGTGAGGGCCAAGGGAAGAAAGAGGGTGGAAGAGTAGAAAGAGGAATGGTGGGTGAATACAATAATACTACTCAATGTACATATGTAAAATGGAAACAGGTAATTTAAGATTGGTGGGAAATGAGATACATGAGAGTGGTGGAGAATGATGGAAGGGATGACTTTAATCAAGATACATCGTTCATGCACAGGTGCTGGTGTCTTCTCATACCTGTAATCTGGCTACTCAGGAGGCTGAGATCTAAGGATCACAGTTTGAAGCCAACTTGTGCAGGAAAGTCTGTGAGATTCTTACTTCCAATAAACTGTTCACCTCCACTCCCCCCCAAAAAAACCCCCCCCAGGAAGTAGAGCTGTGGCTCAAGTGGTAGAATGCTAGCCTTGAGCAAAAAAAGCTCAGGGATAGTATCCAGGCCCTGACTTCAAACCTCAGGACAGCTAGCCAGCCAGCCAGCCAGCCAGCCAGCCAGCCAGCCAGCCAGACACACACACACACACACACACACAAACACACACACAAAGATGATTTGTACACATAAATGGACATGCTAATTGATACTCCTTGCACAACTATTTGAGGAGAATAACAGCAAAGAAGAAAGGAAAATAAGTCTGGAATTTTAGATCATGTCCCATCTTTTGGACTCTACTCTTACATGTTCTGGAGTACTAAGGAAACCTCCCTTGTATGCAAGGATCCCTCCCCATCAGCCCAGCCCTTCCTCTCACCCTGGCCTTTATTTGTCATTAGAAATACTGCATATATTTATGAAAATTGTGAAATATACCCTAACCATTTTAAGTGCACATTTCAATGGCATTAAGTACATTATAATTATTATAGAACCATCACTAACCTCTATCCCTAGAGCCCTTTTTTTAAATTGTCTAAAATTTTATACTCATTAAATTACATGCAGCATACCATCCCTACTTTCTCCCAGTCCCTAGAAGCCATTCTTTTTTTTCTATGATTTGGACTACTGTGTGTTGCTTAACTACCTTATATTATTGGTTTCCTATTGTGCATTTGATTGCTCTGGCTGACTTATTTCACTTAGCATGGTGGTCACAAATTCCCTGATATTGTGGTATAAGATATAACTTTTTTCCCCTCAATATTTTTTTTGTCTTTTCAATTTTAGTATTAGGGATCAAACTCAGGGTGTTGAACTTGCTAGCCAAGTGTTTTACTGCTGTGCTCCCTCCCAGCCTGATTTCTTTCCTTTTTTAAGACCGAGTAGTATTCTGTTTTGTATGTGTATGGTTTGTGGATCTATTTATCTGTTGATAGTACTTGGATTGCCTCTACCTGTGGCTATTGTGAATAATACTGCTATGAGCATGAATGGATAAGTAATTCCTCAAGACCCTACTCTCAGTTCTTTAAGGGATGTACTTAGAGGTGAAGTTGAAGAGTAATATGGTAACTTGACAATTTTTTTTTCTGTGTCCATCCTGGGGCTTGAACTTGGAGCCTGAGCATTGTCCCTGAGTGCTCTAACACTTGAGCCAAAGCTCCACTCTCAGCTTTTTGATGGTTAATTGGAGATAAGAGTCTTATAGACTTTTCTGTTCAGGCAGGCTTTGAGCCTTGATCCTCATATCTTGGCCTCTTGAGGAGCTAGGATTACAGGTATGAGCTACCAGCACCCTGCATTTCACTTTTTGAGGAGCAGCCATATTGTTTTCCACAGTGACAATTCATGGTACGTTTCTACCAGAAGTGTTGACAAAGGTTCTAACTTCTCCGCCTTGGCCAACACTTGCTTTTACTTTG